ACTACCCCACCGCCCCTACTCGGTTAGAGGTGAGGTGAGGTGAGGTAAAATTGGGCTTAACGTCGTGCTTGAGAATATTTCGCTCATATGTGCATGCGTGTGTATGTGTATATGCGGCTGCTTGTACTAGCCCAGACTTAAGCTGCTTTTATAGTGTAGCCCACTGAGATACCATGCCGCAGTGAAGCATGAATACCCCACTCAGACACATTATACTGACTCCGAGCCGACCAGTCCTTGTTGTACTCATTAAAGAACCACTAAACTTTGTTTTTTGTTACTCTTTTAACCATTACATATGAAAGATTTGTGGTTAGTCTTATGCGGAACACCAAATTTATTCTTTAAAAACTTGTGGTTAATTAATACCGAGCGATTAAAAGTGGCCAAAAAGTCGCCTGCTTCCCTCTCGCCCGCCAACGAAACCACAGACAGGTTACGTAACTCTGTCGCCAGAGCACTGCAGTGACGTCATATGAGGAACGATTTTCAGTTAGTTGTATAGAAAGTGTGTAGCACGCTCATCATTTTGATGATTTCTCGACATGAACGACGACATGCCGAATCGTTGCTTTGTCGTCAATTGATCCTAGGGGTCGGGTGATGGTGTCACCATGCACAGATTTCCACAGGACCCCGCAGTTCGTGCTAAATGGGTTATGTTTGTGAGTGCGAAGAGAGCGTTGTGGAAGCCTGAAACGATATCTTACTTGTGTTCAGATCGCTTCACGGAAGTTAAAGAATCAAAACTACTTACTAGTTATAGTAAAATATGTATATGATTGATGACCATAAAGATTTTCCATAACACAACTTGTAACATAACGATTTCTTCCTCGGAAGTGAGGTTGTGGTCGAAGTAACAATAATATTGTAAGTAGTATTATATTGACACCCACCTCGCTGCCAGGAGAGAAATTGTTATGTTATACGCTATGTCATGCAAAATCCTATTGGCCATCAATCAAATATATTTTACTACCAGTAGAAAGTAGTTTTGATTTTGTAACTCAGTGAAAACAAACCTAAATAGCATTTATCCACAGACTGGCGGATGTTCCCGACAGAAGCGCCGCCATTTTGAAAATCGTAAAGTCTGTTAGAATTAATGAGATTATAGTTTGTTTTCATCAAGGTTAGAAAATCAAAACTACTTTCTACTCGTAGTTAAATATGTATTGGAATTATAACCAAAAGGATTTTGCATGACACAACTTATAACATAACGATTTGTTCCACGGAAGCGAGGTGGGGGTCGAAGTCACAATACTGCGCGATAAATTTCTTGCTACATTCACATGGTTAATGTCCACTCACCAGTATGTAGATACTAGTCAATGCGTCTTTATATTTGGTCTTATAATCCTAATTAGTTTATTATCATACTTTTATGCATTTGAAACTAAATAAAAAGCTGACGATCTGCTGATACTTATAGTGAATTTATAACAGAACTGTAATATCTAGACATTTTATAGTTTGCCAATGTGAATCATAATTCGCACACACACCCTAGTGTATGTTGTCTGTCTCATTACACTTCACGGCGAAAACAATGATTCTGTTGAATGCTACGACAAATGAATAAAAACAAAATGCAAATATTAAAATTAAAACAGATTAAAGTTATAGGAACAATATCAGGCCATTACCTTGTTTTGAGGAATGTATCCATCAATATCCACAAAACTGTTCCAAATGATGTGAAGACGGTGAAGAACCCGGATCTTCGGCGTGGCGAACGAATGCTTGTAGGCTGCAACGTGTGTGTCTGTGAAACAGGCTGAGGAGACATGACAATGGTGCAAGATGCACGTGTGTATCTGTGAAACAGGCTGAGGAGACATGACAATGGTGCAAGATGCACGTGTGTGTCTGTGAAACAGGCTGAGGAGACATGACAATGGTGCAAGATGCACGTGTGTGTCTGTGAAACAGGCTGAGGAGACATGACAATGGTGCAAGATGCACGTGTGTGTCTGTGAAACAGGCTGAGGAGACATGACAATGGTGCAAGATGCACGTGTGCGTAAAACATAGTAATTGACGTGACATCGGTGCAGGATACCCGTGTGTGTAAAACTGGCTGAGGAGACATAACATCGGTGCAACATGCACGTATGTGTAGAACAGGGTGGGGAAGTATGGCACTGATGTACCGTATACGTGTGGCTGACTGGGTGTGTTTCTTGACATTCACTCCAGAGTCTATAAAACCGTCTTCAGCATAAACCAGTTACTGCAACTTCCAAGAATCGTCTCAAGGGGATGATTGTGTCGTGAATAAACTTGTCTTTCGGTAAGGACTGAATAATGACATGATTATTCAGAAATCCCACAATCCCTGAAGAAGATGGGGCAACATCTAGCGTCTCGGACAGTCTGACATGAATTTCTATACACCATACACCTATACACTATATACCAATCTGTTCCTGACTTCCCTAAATAAATTGTCTATTTCTCGCAGGTTATTGACTCCAGAAAAGGAGAAACATTGCATCTGTGTTGCAAAAAACATTACTTGGTTAGACTGACTGACTGACTGACTGAGTTTGGTTTTACACCGCTTTTAGCAATATTCCAGCAATATCACGGCGGGGGACACCAGAAATGGGCTTCACTCATTTTACCCATGTGGGGATTCGAACCCGGGTCTTCGGCGTGACGAGCCAACGCTTTAACCACTAGACTACCCCACCGCCCCTACTCGGTTAGAGGTGAGGTGAGGTGAAATTGGGCTTAACGTCGTGCTTGAGAATATTTCGCTCATATGTGCATGCGTGTGTATGTGTATATGCGGCTGCTTGTACTAGCCCAGACTTAAGCTGCTTTTATAGTGCTAGCCCACTGAGATACCATGCCGCAGTGAAGCATGAATACCCCACTCAGACACATTATACTGACTCCGAGCCGACCAGTCCTTGTTGTACTCATTAATGCTGAGCGCCAGGCAAGGACCAACAAGTACCATATTTTAACGTCTTTTGGTATGACGCGGTCGGGGATCGAACCCGCGACCTTCCGCTCTCCGGCCGGACGCTCTAACCACTACACCACGGAGGCGGTCCTACTCGGTTCGAGATTGTGTAGATCCATGAGAATGTATCTCAGTAAACCGGTCGCTTCTATCGGCTCACATACAAAAGCCTTTCAAGGGCAACGTCCATCACATCAAGCCACTAAAATCTCGACTTATAATAGCAAATCACAAGCGTCCGAAATATTTATATATCAAGAATGCAGCTCACGGCTTGCTATATATCTACATGAAGATATGTTGATACTATGCATTTGAGGCCAGCCAGTTCTGGCGCAATCTCCATTAAAATCCAGGTAAGAATAGGTCCCCAGGATTGTACGGCTCGTCAGAAGACGAACCTCCATCATCTCGTTCCTTTGTGATTTAAATACCACATACCGGTACTGCCAAGACTAACGCTTAGACTCTGAACACAGAATTTTTTTTAGCAACAAATAAACCCATTTAAATTGAAAAGGAACCCCAGGGAGGCACGAGATTCAGAACCTGAGGAAATCTAGACTTTAGCATTGCAGGGAAGGCTGGGTGCAGTAGGGAAAATGATGTGGTTTAGGGACTGTGAGACGAGTACTGCTTATTCCAGCATATAACTAGACGACTTTGCACTATACCAATGTAAGCATTGGCTGGAATACGAGTTAATTTCTATGAACCAGATACTGCCAGGTTGGTTATCTCCCATTTGACAGACACCCAATTGGCAGACACTGAACTAGAAGGCTAATTAGGGTAACACCTACGGGTATAATGGAACAGTCCACTGTCTAGTGAGTAGAGCAGGGTGAGCCTGAAACAGGCTTGTTACTGAGAAGTTTGATTGTGGGTAAATAGAACTTTGTTGTGATTAAATGATAAATGATATCTCTTCTCAAAATTGATTTTACTATCAATTACTATCGAATATAAAAACAGGTTTGTCACTATGGGTTTGATTGTGTTTATTGATAGAAAAGCCCCACCCCAATAATAATATGTAAAACAGAAGTTAATTGAGAAAACGTTTTGTTGGAGAGATATAGATATGTACATATTTGAAAACTTTCTGATTTGCAGTAAATGAGACACCTGCATTGCCATGTAAGATACGATTAATACCAATCAGTGTTCTAATTTAAACAATACTTTCAAACTGTTCAAATTAGTCTTTTCATCCATCTTTCAAAATAAATAATATAGCTTCAGTTTGTTCCTGTGTTTTTATTTGGACTATTCCATTATAATGTGTAGGTAACAGGTAGTAGATAATCTGTTCACTGAACCGTAAATGTTGTTTTAAGGTGTATGCGAACTGGCTGTCTGCGTAATGGGAGGACACCGCCAGGCTCGGTGACTTCGCTGATTGCGTTGCGATTACTTTCATCCTGCAGTTGCACACTTGTGCTATTGCTTACTGCGGCGTTAAACAATACGTCAATGAAACAGTTTCGTGAACGCAACACAATCACTGGTCGATAAATTAGCAATCTGTAACATCTGTGTGCGTTTATTTACAAAAGCGGAATGGACAGTTGAGTGTTGGTTTATACTTAAAAAACAAACGTCAAGTGATCACGTTCCCATTTATGTGATAAATCGTAAGTACAGAGCTCCCTCAAACGCTGTTGTCTTGAACACGTACACTGTCGTGGTGTTCAATTTGGATTTCGATGAACCTAACAGGTTTTCTTATGTGTTAAGAGTGTGCCGAAGAAGCCTTTAGAGCGGATAGGAATGTCCTTATTTTATCACCCAAATGACTTTCAAAGTTCATCAACGTCAAGACAGTCTCCCATGTCAGTGTGCAGTTCAGAGATCGATCAATCTATTTCGTCACATTAAGTTTCAGAAAAGATAACAGCTGCCATGTTCAAACTCGTTAACATCCGGAGCCTAAGGACGAACAGCTACTGTTCGCTGAATATATGTGTTCGCCTCACTAATAATGATATCCTGAAACAACAGACAAGCCAACAACAGGTGACAAAGATAGAGCTTTATTCTTCTTCCTCTATATTCCAATCATGTGGTAATAAATTAACAAATCAGACTGCAGGAGAGATAGAGAGATAGAGCAGAGAGGAGGAGGGGGACAGTTATTAATGCCACTGGGGTTAAAGTATCCTTGCCATCACAAACCAGTGGAACAGTTGCCTCCCCTTGATTAGTCTCCAGCCTGTAGAAACCTTTTGGTGAAATGTGACACAAATGAATCAATCCCAAAGTTTTCCATCTCTACCAATCCCACATTAAGTAGATGTAATCAACAGGAAGCAAGCAGGTTTCTGTAGGTTCATTGTCAATGGTGTAGGTGCAGATTATGCAATTTATGATAACAAACCATAAGACAACCCTTCCACTGGTTTAGGATAACATATTGAACATTTTGTATCTGGATTAAAACTAAGAAAGTACTCATTTTAACTCAATTCAAAATCACAATTACCACAAGTACATCCACCTTTACCAATTATAGTTCAGAAGATTGTATCCGAAATAGAATAAACCTGCTGGCAATACAGAGCAATTACTCGTATGCCAACCACATTTCAATGTGAAACTACACCCAATACACACAAGGTAAACGTCCATCTTTGGTTTTATGATGATTTCAATGGTTTAACGTCAGATGTAGCTGCAGTCTCTTCTAGTATCTGAGCAGTCCAGTAAGGTAACGTATGATTCAAAGCTTCAAAACAAGCACAAATGAAATCAAGACCGCAGTATGAATGGTGCTGTAACATTAATGTACCGGTAATACTTGTGGGGACCTGGCAAGAGGTTCATTTTGCAATGGTGTAGTTGAGGCACAGTTATTAAAGAACACAACAGGATCAACTCTCTATGACAAGATGACACAACATGTGCAATAAATAGCGACAATGGTGCATATACGCTGAAGACACTTGTCTTGCATGATTTACAATGTTGAAATGAAATACCTTGGGAGATGTGAATCGAATGTATGGCAACTTAGAGAAAGCATGAGCAGGTCTAAATGTTGGGTCCAGTCATTAATGGTGTCCCTCTCAACGATATGTGCAGCCTAAATTGAACCAAGTGGCTGAATGGCAGATGCACTGATGCACATTCATCAACCTCACAACACTGATAATGGTTTACATGGAAACAGCCACACTTTGTTTTATGTACACAATATGCTAGTCCAATACATGGTGCTTGTTTTGAAGCTTTAGGCTAAGAGAGAGTTCTGAGTCACCTGCCGACCAACTAACCATAGCAACACTCGTAAGATCACTCCAGCACACCAAGACTCCAAATTCTACCATGCAGAATCAGAACCCTCTGGCAGAAAGTTTATTTCCTAATGCTGGAAATGTTCAGGAACAGGGATAGAAACAAGTTAAACCCATTCATAATAAACACCCAAAATATTCAGTTTTCAATCTGTTGATTGCAGAGTCAGGCAAAAAAAAAAGTCCATGATTGATGACAGACAAAGTATCAATGTGACATCCAATGTTGTACACCGATTCCTCTCCCACACCCTGTTTCCTCACACGGTGCATGCACATTGTGATGACTGGAATAAGTGTTGCATCTTTAGAACTCAGTCAATTCTCTGAAATCAATTTGTAGTATATAATATATAGTTTTACCATACATGTCATTATGTACACAATAAGCCTTCTGAATACAGGCCCCTATTGGCAGTCTGCCTACTGGAGAAATCAAACACAGGAAAATAGTCAATCTTACGTGAACATGCGAACCAATTTTTACACTTATTCCTTATTTTGTGTGTATTTTAGAGGAAGGACTTAGTTGAGCACATGCAAATCGACATTAACAGCTTCCCACCAATAGAAATAAAAAGTAACAAAAAATTAAAAAGCAAACGTTACTCTGGTGCCCAATTACAATGCCTGTCAGTAGTCATGTTCAGCCAGTCAGAAGCAGAACCATACAAGCCATTAATCATCAAATAACATCAACATTCAAACAGTACAATCCTTGTGGATCAAACAACTAGAAAGCCAGTATGTACAATCAATTAACTTACTGGGGGGAATTACTGGGCCTCACCAAACATAGGGCCTAACACTGATCAAATTAATAAATTAATCATACATACTTGAAAACCTAGCAGAAACTAGCATCAGTGATGATCTCTGACCATTGTATGAATATCAAAAGTAAAGAAAATAATCTCTGAATGTTTGGTTTCTTGCGAGTGTGGCATCTGATTACGAGAGACAGGCCATCTCCTAGACTGGGTGCAAACTCACATCACAGCAAAGCTACTTCCACTACCTATGCACAGCTGAAGGATCAACATTTTCTGCAATTGAGTCCACCTGATTGACAAGTTCATTTACCAAAAACACAATCCTCATAAACAGAGTATTCACAGAACTTTGGAAACTTGATTCAAGTCAAAATTGTTAAGTTGCTAACAGCTTTTCAGCATGAATTGTAAACAATGATTCCTGCTTTGCTCATTTGTGGTTTGTCATCCCCAGCCTAAGTGGTGTTTCTATGGGTAGGAGAATGTGGCAGGCATTGCTGCACACACACAATCTACCAGAGATGCAGTGCCTACCACTTGGCTATTGGAAACAGAATCCTCATAACTAACAGTAGTAGCAACAACTATATTAAATGCTAAAACATTCACAATCAACTAGCTACATTCAGTTCAACAGTTTCTTCATTATATATATTTATATATATTTACACTTGAACATATACACATTTTCACCTTTCCCTCCCGGTATATTATGTACATGATTATGAGGACGCCACTGGACAGGTTTCCATGGGAACAGACAAGGGAAAAGTTTTATATGTGAGCCACAAAGCACAAAACTTGAGGTTTTTAACTTTTCCTGAATCTGCCGAGTTTGAATGAAGGTATGGAAGTAGTAGGGGGCTCCACATTCTGTACACCATACACACCAAGCTCATGCACAGTCAGGGAGACAAGCGACATACAGATATCCAGAAATACCTAGTTATATATAATATAATATATGTATTTATATATATCACAATAATGATTCACAAGAGATCCCTTGCGCGCCTGAATTTATGAAATGATTCAACAAATGTTATGGAATACGAAATCTCAAGCCATCACGTTTGAAGGATGAAGCCCGGCCATCAATCTGTGACATGGCGACATGCACTTTCATCTTAGCACCTTTGGGATGTGTCTTTGAATTTGTGGTAACCATGGTAACCAACCTGTTCAAATATGAATCAAAACAGGCAACAGAAAACATGTAAGTCACAATACTAAACCAATGTTGATATAAAGCCCAAAACAAAACATGCTCCCATCACTGATTGTAAATCCATTCATTATTATCAACGACACACATTTGAAGTATATTAACCCTCTCACCATCAAATATCTCCATCTGATTTCACTAGATGGCTAGTCTGGTGGAAAGAAGGTTAATATTATTCGGGAAATCTTCCATTAACTTTTCACCACAACACAATCAATGATCTTCAATCTTGTAAGAGTTGGAAGAATGACCCTGTACTGATGTGGTCTGATGTAACTGTTATGCAAGCACTTTACAGCATGGTAATCCCCAATCACCTTAACAAGCTGGCCATTTATACAGAAATATTACGACAATACTCACACACACACACACACACACACACACACACATCCATTCATCCATCTGGGCCACCATTTCCCTTATACTCCACAGGCAGCTGTCGGATGTACTAAACATAGGTCATGGGTTTAAATTCTCAATCACTAAAAATTTACTCCATGAGAAATAGTACCAAGTTTATGGAGAGTGATACTGCCAAGACACCTGTGAATGTGTACATACAGATGAGTCTCTTAAATACATTTTCTGGAGTATCTACAACACAAAGTGGTTAAAAATATGATGGATTTCATATGAGAGATACAATTAAAAATGGAAAATATTTTTTTCATCCTTTTTCCGTTTTTTTTTTTTTTTGTCTTTTTTTTTAATTGATAGTGACAGTTTATGATGATCAGCTTCCCCTATGAAGTCTATGAATCGGAGGACTACTCTAATGGGCACACTAACACACTGGTGATACGCATGATACATGTACATGAGATGACAACGGTGTCTTGACAGGGACCCACTTCATAAACCACAATTCAAGGAACTGTACAGGTTCATTCAAAGTAACAGGTTATTGATGGTTAGAAGAAACTGAATGTCATTTGGTGTAACTTCCATGTGAAGTCAAAAATACATTTGACTTTCACTAGCACTGAGATTTAACAGTTTCAAGAACATCCTTTGTGTAAATTTGTACTTGCAATATGCTTGAAGTTGACTGAATGTTAACAAAACCATCTAAAAAAAATTCAATATGGAGCATAAAACTAAATGGTTGGACCAGATAAATGCATAATCATCTGCAGCCTATTTAAAAATTGATAACATGCTTGAATATCACAATGCAGAATAGGACAATTTCTTGGTATGGTTTTACATCCTGCACAGACACACAAATGAACACCAACACACAGTGACACACCCTCAACAGCTCAACTTTCATTTCAACACACTACACATCACATATAAAACTGTTTCTGCTAGGTCCACTGCCTCTTGCAACAAAGGTCAAAATGCAACCCTCACTTTTAAAAGAAAAACAGGCAATCTTCGAAACACAGCTGTGAAAACGAAACGAAAATCCTAAGTGCTCATAATGATTGGTCCTATGAACTTAAAGGTAGATGATTAACCAAATGAGAAGAATTAACAGACTGAGGCTCTATCAACTACTGACACTATTACTGATTGCAATTTATCCAACAATCCCATTAAGAGCTTCATTCGGTCCATCCCATGGTGTCGAGGAATTGAGACGTCGGCAAGTTCTGTCCAACAAAGAACACCACTCCTGTGGTGAAAACATAACATTCAGTCAAACCCTGACCGTTCATCAAAACAAAAGAAATAAAATGCAAACTTAAATTAGTAAATAATTTGGTTTTTTCTCTCCAAAATAGAAGTCTTTTCCCATTGCACTCAATTTTCAATTGAGATAAGCCAGAATTTCATTCCATCTTGTGTTGATCACTCCCAACACCTGTTCTCCTTCACATTCTTGAATTGAATTCAATCCAGGTTGTCAAGGCAACCTATTTGTCCATTAATCAAGGTCCTTGCAATCACCTGCAAGGGATCCAAGAGGCAGTATTTACTGTACAATTGCCTGGTTTCAAATCCAACTTGTCCAAATCACATCAATACAGTTGCATCTTGACTCAGGAAACCTATTGGTGTAAATAACCATCTTTGGCTACTTTGCATAATATCTGTTCCTCCTTAGTTGCTGTCACCATGTTTCCAATGCACCATCCAGGGAGGGGTTGCCCCAGGTTGCCCTTGGTTGCCCTAGCTTCCTTCTCCTCAACCCAGCAGTGTCAGCTGTATTGCCAATCTCACCTGAAGTGCAACCACTTGGCAGAGTGCTTGCAAGTGCTTGGATGACACCAACCACTGGGGCAAGAGACAAGTCAACCACTGCCTAATAAACATCACAAACTTGAAGCCATGAAAGATCAATGCTATCATGAATACTTGCAACTCCTTGCACTGGTACCGCCGATGATAGTATCAATGATGAAGAACCCCTCCCATAAACACAAATCCATCAATACTTATTTCCACTATACACCACAGAGTGGCTAGCTCCCCATGATGACAATTGCCAAGTTAGTTTTAAGACTAGTGTTGCATGTTATCATTTGGCTGCCACTTTAATGTCCCTCTCACTGCGGTCTCGCCGCCGATCCCGCCTTTCTCGGTTTTCCTTTGCTCTCCGCTGTGGCCTCTGCTCCTTGGGCTCAAAGTCCTTTCTCACATTATCTTTCATCTGTGGCTGTCGGGCAGATGCCGAGGCCACTTTAACAGTTTGTGTTTGCTCGCGCAATGTTTGGCCGTTCTTGGCACTTGTGACTGCAGTTGCAACTGGGGGTGGGGACTGTTGAGGGGAGGTGTTGTTGTCCTCTTTCGTCTTCTCTCCACCGTTGCCATCTGTGTCCCGTTTCCGCTGTACCATCTGGGCGTAGCTCAGTTTCACTCCTGGAGGCAGATTGGGTTTGTCCTCCTGCTGACAACAACGCAAGGATGGTTAACATGCATCAACGGCTTTGCAACATTCTAACTTACTTTGTAACTGGACATGACTAATGCAATATTGCCAATGTATCACCGAGTCCTGTACATAATGTAACTGATAGCACGCGCTACATCCAAGCCTTCAGGGCAAAGACACCAAACATTAAGCCAAATCACAGAACCTGTTTTGCAATTCTCTTTTTATCATGGGATACTTGAAACCTTTTCTTTCTTTCAGGAGAATGAGTAGGTTCAGAATATATCTTTTGCATTATTCCAACAATAGCTCCACACTAGAAAATTGCTTCAAGTATATTATCCACCTGATCACTTAAACCTGCATCTGACATGACAAACATGTAATTAAATGCACACCCAATTACAATAATGAAAGAGAATGAAGCTATTTTTACATCAGTTATCAATTTCTTCACTAAATTGTACCTTGTTCGTGGCTCACATGAGCAAATGTAACCGAAGACTACGCACGAATTAACCTCACACGTAAGATTTAAAGCAGGGAAGGGGAGGGAGAGTTACTTACCAAGAGAACGGATACACTAGATGTTGTAGGTTTTGATTGGCTAGAGACAACAACAGAGGCCTGTTTGGTGACTGTTGGCTCGGGAGCAGGTTTGGTTTCTGCTGTACTTGCAGCTTTACTTGATCTGAAACATTATCAAAATAGGAATCTCACAACTTTCTATAACACGTGAACAAGAAAGACAATCATTTCTGTAAACGTAAGTATTTGCAGCTTGAAAATTCACTTATCTGTGCAGCCTAATGCTGGCTTGGCAATAACATCTGTATCCTGGATGTGGTCATTCAACTAGCTGTTAGCAATGTTACAGCTGAGTGTCCAACCTTAAGGTAGCCTGAAGTCATGTTCATTAAGAAAAACACATTGTTTGGTTACAGGGATTAATTACTTCGCGGAAGATTTACCATAACAATCAGAATACATCAGCAACAATAATTCTCCCCTTCATCTCGAACTGGAACTCACTTTTGCTGGTAAACAGGTTCCGCTGTAACTGCAACTGTTGCTGTTGCTGTTGTAACCGGGACTGCTGTTGGTTCCAGCACTTCCTTGACAGCAGGTGTGATAGGAGCTACAACTGGGGCTGGGGGTGGTGGAACAACAGTGGGGGACGGCGGCGAGGCTACAGGTTGTGGTGGAGGGGATGCAACCCTGGAGGCAGTGTGCTGGGAGGATGGAGGTGCTGTTGACTGTGGCTGTTGAACTGATTTTGTTGTACTAGGTTCGCGAACTTGAAGTCGAGCTGTGCCCTTTACAACATCAGACAACTTGCTTTCATAATTTTCACTAGATGCAGCATTGTTCTGAAATATGAAAGACTAACTTTTAACACATTAACACTTCATAGAAAGTCTGTATACTTCATCAACAGGACTACTCCCAAACTATAATAGTTTCAGCAACTCAAAGTATTTCAGCTCATAAAGACGTTTACTTCATAACCTAGAAAAAATACTAACAGAAAATATTCAACCAAGCCTTAGATAGAAGCTAAAATTCAAGCTATCTGCATGTTTACCAGTCATTAAAAAAAGCATCATCGGGAGATAAAATTTCCCCTCAGATATGGAGATTGTCACCTTTGTTAATGGATATATTCAGTTAAGTGAAGAAAAGAAAAAATAATTCTTTTCAGTGTTGTTTAAACATAAAAAAATAATTAAAAAATAATTAAAATAATAATCAAAAGCACCAAATCTTGAAGAAAAAATAATGCTCTTCAGTATTTTTAAATATTCCAAAACATCAAACACTAGACTCATCTGTACATCAAATTTCATCAAGAAATATTCAACGGTTTTACAGCCCTTCATTCATTTGGAATTTTCAAAGTAAATTATAATCATACTTGACAAAATGTGAATTTATGTATTAAACATTGCACGGCACCTTTGCAATAAACAAAGAAGCCATTACCCAAATCTGAAAACAATCCACCAAACCGGTTGAACAAATTTCATGTGGGAATTTTACCAGAGTTCAATCAATTTAAATCGATAATTTTCTAAGAACTAATAAATGTTTGCACTGCACATCTCATATAGATATGGAAGGTGATCCCCAATTTGAACCAATCCATTACAATGTCTTCAAGTAATAGGTTGAATAAAAATGTATTTTTACAAAGGTTCTTGATATAAAGGCATATAGAAGTTGGTATTCTAGTATAAGACAAAATATTATGGATGTCAACTCTTGTTTATTCTATACACAACGTTTCTGGGCTTTACCTTGCCCCTTAGTCAGGTGAATGATATTTTATAATATTTTTATAAAGTTCAAAATATGAAAATTCATGTACTCTTTTGCAAAAATTAGAAATATCAGACAACCCCTAATGGAATTAACTTAAGAACTTACTAGAGAGCCTGGTAAAGGCGGGAATGACGTAGACTCTAACTCAAACTGGGGCTCAAGGCGCCCATCTCGACCAGGCATGGAAGGATTTTGCCGCTGGAACAATATTTGGGTAAATTAGTGGTCAAAACACAAGTTCAACGCCACATAAAACAGTTTTCCAGTAACATCACAGGCTGCTTTCACCATTCCGGTGAAACACAAACATCTGTACAGCGCTGACAAACTTAGAAACATCACCAAGGTAAACCATGATATGACCCCCACAAGGATGGCTTTCTCAAATGCCTACAAAATGTAACTCGGCACAGTGAACTGCAGCAGCTCAGACATCTGGACAATACATGCCCCCAATTAAATCTTGAGAAACAGCAAATAACACCTCGTGTCAAGATCACATTAGAAACACCTGAGTGTTTGAATATAATAAGTTATGCAAGAAAACCAGGAAGGAGAAAAAAATTTGGACAAGTCCACATCAATTTTGTAATACTCACAGAATTCTTAGCACCCTCTTCACCCCTTCTTCCTCTTTTATAACTTTTTCTGAAAGAGAACAGCCTTGTTAATTTTCTCATGTCTTCAGGGATCCATTTCAATGACACATCTCCAGTTCACATTCATCAATTCTATTATTCAAGATTCAAGTGAACATCTTATACCTCTCAACACCAAATCATTAAATCGTCTAATAAAAATGAGTGAGTGAGTGAGTTAATATTCAACGTCTCATCGGCAATATCTCAGCCATATCGTGACGATTAATAAAAATGATATTACACAGAAGGTCGTGTAGTATCCTCTATATACATGTGTTCCTTGGGGCCCATTAAATGTGCAACCCTCAAAAACCACGTACCTTTGAGGGACCATGTCAGATTTATTATTTTGAGTAAGGTTTGCATTGGCATCCACTCCATGTGGCTGGACTGAGGCGTTGACCATATGAGAACTGCCTCCCATATCTCCACGACGTGTAAAGCTTGAGATCTGGGCACTGTCAAGGTTACGGGGACTCGTTCGAGGGGCAGACACTGGGTGGCGCTCATTCGTCATTCGGCCATCCGAGTTGTTCCGTTCCTGTACCGATGACCGATGTGTTTTCATATTTCTGCTGAACAAACCCATTAAGAAAAGTGAGCAAGTTTATTATCATTATGCACATTTACGAAAGAAGAGAACTACCTTCCTGCTCGCACTAACCTCATAATACAAAGGTCTTGACTTAACTCTGCAAAACATCCACATTAACAACCCTTTCAACATACTGCAAGATGCAACCATATATTTTTGTCTTCATAGACAACAGCGTTTCAAATGTTTTCTTGCTCTGTCTAACCCTCACAAAGTTCACTCACCACTGATTTGTGAATAAACTCACTACAACTGTGATTTATTTACCATACCACATCACCATACATAATATGCCATGCGCGACATTCAACAACTTTTACTCTAAGATCATTAGTTTTGTTTTTTTTGTGTAAGTTTTAATGGCAAAAACACCATTTATTTATGTGACGCTGGAAGCAGACCATCTAAGATTTGTATTGTTGTTCCTATATCATTCTCAGGTATTGGGAACCAAGATCATGACTGGGAAAAAAGTCAAGTCAATCATTAAATTTTACTCTGTTTCCACAAGCAGTTCAGCTGCTGAACAAGAAAAATGATAATCACAGGACAGTCATAATAGTTGTTTAATGCCACAATCTGCAATATTCCAGCAGACAATCCAGTCACAGGCAGCATCAATCAATGTAATTTGTATATGACATTCATCAACCAAGTCAGCAGACTGGCCCTTTCTAAAAAACAGTAGTTTGCTCAAGACCAATTCTACCCTGATCTTCATGGCTGTCTTCCCCATATCTTAACTCACTCACCAGCTGTATGCTTGAAGATTAATTGCAAAAGGTGTAATGAGTTGAGTTTGGAGTTCTCTCGCTTGGAAGAGCATAAAGGTTGAGTGAGTGAGTTTAGTTTTACGCCGCACTCAACAATATTCCAGCTATATGGCGGCAGTCTGTGAATAATCGAGTCTGGACCAGACAATCCAGTGATCAACAGCGTGAGCATCGATCTGCGCAATTGGGAACCGATCGAGCCTGACGACCCGATCCCATTCGTCGCCTCTTACGACAAGCATAGTCACCTTTTGTGGCAAGCATGGGTTACTGAATACCTATTCTACCCCGGATCTTCACAGGTCATAAAGGTTGAATAAGAGCCAATATTACAGACAACGCCATGGAAAAATAGCTGAAATTACTTTCAGGATATCTCACCGACTATAATTTTAGCTTCTATGTTCCCATTACTTTCATTGTTTGCTGAGGTGTCTATCAACGCTCACTGGTATGAGCACATAGTTGCCAAAAGTTGAAGGACAGGATTTTCCATGTCACTGACAATTTTATGTAGCATTCAAACAGATTGACTTATCCGATGTCTGCTGAAAAACTAGAACATCCACATATTTCTTAATCATAGTGGGAAAAGGACAACAGATAATATAGAGAATAACGCACTTGCAACTGCGAATCCAAGTTTCAATTTACAAAATCAATTTTTCCATGATCTAACAAGGCTGGCAGGTTGTTCTCCATAATCTGTGCCTGGTTTTAGTCTTTCTTACCTGTTGGTTCTTGCATTGCTTTGGAAGATATGTCTGTTTGTGGACGCTGTGGGTTTTATACTTGTGGCCTGGTAACCGTTCATTTGAAACATCTACAATATTCAGAATGGAAACATTGAGTACAATACTTCATATCAAGAGTAGTGAATTTCTACTACGAAGGTCCTCTTGAAAAGAATTTCAGACACAAAAGTCATGAAAACTTCAGACTCAAGACATAACCAGTTAACCACAAGGCAAGATCTACACCAGAAATCTAGTCATAGAGCAATGAATAGAATACACTGAACTTTGACAGAATACAACATTCAACATCAAACAATAAGCTGAATCCTGTTTACATGTAGGACTCAACAGAGGAGTCCTATTTATCGATAGCAATTTGCATACATACCCAGCGAAACAATACAGGTGTTTTAGAGACCATATGTAACTGAACACAACAAATCCACATGTGGGAACCATAACCCAACAAGTTGATACAGAGCCTAACAACACCACAGAACCAGCCAGGGTTAGCAAACAATCTACGACACCAACTAAACACACAACTATCATTAGTAACCAAAGCAAGCAAAACCTGCCTCAGCAGAACTCACACAGCAGTAGGCTTATTGAGGGACTGGGGCAGAGATGCTAACATCATTTACACCTACCTACCTCTGTAAATGTTACTGGGGCTGTCAAGTCTTCAACTAGTCCATCACAGATAAAATCATCTAAGTATGTTTCTTTTTGGTATATGAAAGAAAGGATGTTCTTTCAAATATATTTTTTTCATTAATAAAAATTCTAATTACGAAGGACATTATAATATTACCTGCATTACACAAGGGAATATTTCTAAAGAGAATATTGGAAAGATTTGTCTAAAAGTAATAAGCATTACATGGTTTGCTAATATTAAAAACTGAATTTGAATCTTGGAATCAAGACTCAAGGTTTGAATATTGCAAGTCACCATCTTGTGGCGAGCTTGGTGTTGCCTGAGGTCTGTGTGATGCCTGCTAGGGCAGTTCCAGGGTGTCCCCTTTCTCCCACTTGAATATTCACCTTGTATTTACTTACCGCTCCGGGATCAAGAAAGGGGGTGGCAGAGGGAGCCCAGGGGGGACATTACCGTGGGGCTCAGAGGGTAGAAAGGAAAAGGCTGCAAGAGAGCAATGTGTAACACATGAACAGTTTAGAACAAACACCAGGCACATATCTGCTTATACCTACATTCCTAATTCTTTCAAAAGATTTGACAATCTTACCTATAATATTAATTTTCTTCATTTGCTTGCATATTCAATTAAAATGGATATGGGACACTGTATCACTCCAGGTGAGTGTGGTTTAACCAAGTTGGGAACTGACAATCCAGTAATTAGAGCTGTAGGCAATAAGCCATGCTGCTTGGGTACGATGATACTATGAACCATATCCCTTGGTCTAACCACAAAATCCATCAAGTTGAGCAGCATGTGTTGATGTGGGCCAGTGCAGACCAGTTCTAACCTGGAATACCTGGTTTCCATGTAAGTGTTTGAAAACAAATGGCAGTTCTATGGCGACCCTCGGTGCTTTCTGCTTGTCCTACCTGCTGTCCATTACCAATGTATTGCACGGAGGTAGGCTGCACCATTCTGTACGGTTGCTGTTGTGCCTGCTGTTGCTGTGGCTGTTGCTGCTGGGGCTGGGGGATTGGGTACGTCGGCTGCTCTGCAGTTCCTTGGAAGGGCACTTTCATGCCATTCCGCGGCACAAAAGTCGATCGTATCAATGGCTTGGCTTTTATCCTTGCCTAGGAACGAAATCAGACCATTATGACTGCGCAATGACATTAGATATCAAATGAAGTAACCATGGTACATCTTAACAGTTGACATCTTGAAACATGAAACAGTGATGCCTGATACATGCAGTGAGCAAGTGAATGATGATCACTTCAACACAACACAACACTACATCTACATCATGGTGTGTTGACAATGAGTGACTGATGCTGAACACAGCAGTCGGTTATTGCCAGACTCAGTATGGTACATCAAGCAATGTATGCAATGTGTATGCTGACTTCTGGACAACCAAGTCAGAGTTGACCATCAGATAAGCATACCAGGCAAACAATACTTTGAAATCGCCAGTGGGGTTATCATGGGTTAGATCACATATTGTAAATCCTGCTACACAGTGTCACCAATAGTACCCGATATAGGTAACTTTTACAAAACTTGAGCCAACTGTGCTCAACAATCCTGCTGAGCTGAGATATCTTCCATATGGTACGAGTCCACAAATAATGGGCAAATCTTAACAATATTTGTCTCAGAATGGCTTAATGGACTTGCAAAACAGGAATGCCACATTCAGACACTTACCATGATAGGTCTGTCTAGAAAGGTGCGTACTTCCTCTCGCAGGAACTGGTAGGCACGTTGAGCATCCTCATCAGATTCAAACGTCACATACCAGCTGTTGTTGTGAGCGAATTCACAGCTGACAAATGGTGGACAGTTTTCTCCTTTGAAGAGCTGCTGTACCTCCTGGAAGAAAAAATGTCCTCAGTTAACAAAGCTAAAGTAACAAATACTTAAAGAAACACTCCAGCAATGACAGGATGTTAGTGAGTGAGTTTAGTTTTATGCCGCACTCAGCAATATTCCAGCTATATGGCGGCGGTCTGTAAATAATCAAGTCTGGACCAGACAATCCAGTGATCAACAGCATGGGCATCGATCTGCGCAATTGGGAACCGATGACACGTGTCAACCAAGTCAGCGAGCCTGACCACCCAATCCCGTTAGTTGCCTCTTACGACAAGCACGGGTTACTGAAGATCAACATTCTAGCCCAGACCTTCACGGGATAACAAATACATGTTTATGCAAGAGAAGAAAACAATTCCTATGCAGATTAACTGGTTACTGGTGAATCATTCATGATACACGTTTCTACAATATAAAGTTTGCATGAAAATAACTGAAAAGTGTGTTCTTTTTTTTGGCAGATGTTGAAACAATTTACTCTTGAACTTACTTCTACGGGTGTGGTATCTGGAATCTCCCTCAAGATGACCACACATCTACTGTGGTTTGGTCGAACTTTCTCCCCCTTCTCATCTACCTGCACTGAAGGAGACCCTGCAAAATACCAACAAATTAAAATGACTAAACATAATGGTCTCATTGGCAGTTGCAACATTGAACCATGGCTAAATATGAAAATACTTAAAAAATTAAAACAGATCTGTCCCCAATATTTCAGTTCATAATCTGTAACATTTTCATAAATTACTTTCATTTTAATGTGCATGGTCATTGCAGGAGTATTGCATCAGTCATAAGTCAAGGGAGACAACTCATGTTGCCATATCAAATACATCCGAGTTCTTAAATCCATTTATCTATATCTGAAAGGAATGTACTTTATAAAATTTATGAAAATTGCAGTCACAAATGTCTCATAAGTGTATTTTCAACTGATGAGATTCAGAGCTTATTCTGAATATGTTGTTAGATTTTGAGTACACAAAAAGAATACTGACTGCGGAGGACGTCTACGATGAGCTGGAGGTTGTTGGTGAGCTTCTGAACCTGATTGAAGTTTGCCACAGTGGCAATGGCCACATACTGATCCGGGTCCATTTGGGACTGTAGGTATGTGTCGTGGACAAGGTTTTCTCTGGAATAAAATGAAGAGTTGTTGTAGAGTAGTAGTAGTGGACATACCAGCAGGAGAAGTAGTGGACAAACTAGCAACAGTGGTGGCCATACCAGCAGAAGATGTAGTGGACAAACTAGCAACAGTGGTGGACATACCAGCAGGAGATGTAGTGGACAAACTAGCAACAGTGGTGGCCATACCAGCAGGACAAGTAGTGGACAAACTAGCAACAGTGGTGGCCATACCAGCAGGAGATGTAGTGGACAAACTAGCAACAGTGGTGGCCATACCAGCAGAAGAAGTAGTGGACAAACTAGCAACAGTGGTGGCCATACCAGCAGAAGAAGTAGTGGACAAACTAGCAACAGTGGTGGACATACCAGCAGAAGAAGTAGTGGACAAACTAGCAACAATGGTGGCCATACCAGCAGAAGAAGTAGTGGACAAACCAACAGGAGAAGTAGTGGACATACCAACAGGAGAAGTAGTGGACATACCAGCAGGAGATGTAGTGGACAAACTAGCAACAGTGGTGGCCATACCAGCAGAAGAAGTAGTGGACAAACTAGCAACAGTGGTGGACATACCAGCAGAAGAAGTAGTGGACAAACTAGCAACAATGGTGGCCATACCAGCAGAAGAAGTAGTGGACAAACCAACAGGAGAAGTAGTGGACATACCAACAGGAGAAGTAGTGGACATACCAGCAGGAGATGTAGTGGACAAACTAGCAACAGTAGTGGACAAATTAGCTGGAGATGTAGTGGACAAACTAGCAACAGTGGTGGCCATACCAGCAGTGGACAAACCAACAGGAGAAGTAGTGGACAAACCAACAGAAGTAGTGGACATACCAGCAGGAGAGGTAGTGGACAAACTAGCAACAGTGGTGGCCATACCAGCAGTGGACAAACCAACAGAAGTAGTGGACATACCAACAGGAGAAGTAGTGGACATACCAACAGGAGAAGTAGTGGACATACCAGCAGGAGATGTAGTGGACAAACTAGCAACAGTAGTGGACAAATTAGCTGGAGATGTAGTGGACAAACTAGCAACAGTGGTGGACAAACTAGCAACAGTGGTGGCCATACCAGCAGTGGACAAACCAACAGGAGAAATAGTGGACAAACCAACAGGAGAAGTAGTGGACATACCAGCAGGAGAGGTAGTGGACAAACTAGCAACAGTGGTGGCCATACCAGCAGGAGATGTAGTGGACAAACTAGCAACAGTGGTGGACATACCAGCAGTGGACAAACCAACAGGAGAAGTAGTGGACAAACCAACAGGAGAAGTAGTGGACATACCAGCAGGAGAGGTAGTGGACAAACTAGCAACAGTGGTGGCCATACCAGCAGGAGATGTAGTGGACAAACTAGCAACAGTGGTGGCCATACCAGCAGAAGAAGTAGTGGACAAACTAGCAACAGTGGTGGCCATACCAGCAGAAGAAGTAGTGGACAAACTAGCAACAGTGGTGGCCATACCAGCAGAAGAAGTAGTGGACAAACTAGCAACAGTGGTGGACATACCAGCAGAAGAAGTAGTGGACAAACTAGCAACAATGGTGGCCATACCAGCAGAAGTAGTGGACAAACCAACAGGAGAAGTAGTGGACATACCAACAGGAGAAGTAGTGGACATACCAGCAGGAGATGTAGTGGACAAACTAGCAACAGTAGTGGACAAATTAGCTGGAGATGTAGTGGACAAACTAGCAACAGTGGTGGCCATACCAGCAGTGGACAAACCAACAGGAGAAGTAGTGGACAAACCAACAGGAGAAGTAGTGGACATACCAGCAGGAGAAGTAGTGGACATACCAGCAACAGTGGTGGCCATACCAGCAGTGGACAAACCAACAGGAGAAGTAGTGGACAAACCAACAGGAGAAGTAGTGGACAAACCAACAGGAGAAGTAGTGGACATACCAGCAGGAGAAGTAGTGGACAAACTAGCAACAGTAGTGGACAAATTAGCTGGAGATGTAGTGGACATACCAACAGAAGTAGTGGACAAACTAGCTGGAGATGTAGTGGACATACCAACAGAAGTAGTGGACAAACTAGCTGGAGATGTAGTGGACATACCACCAGATGTAGTGGACAAACTAGCTGGAGATGCAGTGGACATACCAGAGCAAACATAAGCAGGAGTAATGGACAAACTAGTGGAAGTTGTACCTATCAATATTCCCCATAACTAAATATCAACTGATTATCGATAAAGATCGGAAATGTATATTTGAGCAAAATCCAAAAGAAATCAAGATGTTTCACATCAGTGGTGAGAGGTGATATATTCACTGATTACCATCAAAAGCAGTGTCCTGGACATACTACAGAAGCAGCCTTTGAATAAAGACATCATTTTGTGAATATTGTGTGTAAATTACAACTTCATTGCACCAGTATAGGTCAAGGTCAAGTAATATCGATGACACAATTTTTGTACCAATAGTCATTGGCAATTCTTCTAAACTTCCCAAACTGTCAAACAGCAGATTTAGTAGATAAACTAGCAGACATTGCAGCAACCTACCTAGAGAAATAGTACTCAAGCTGAGTCTGCAAAAGTTGTCGGAGCTGATCTTCTGGGATGGAACCCTCAAGCGGCATGTTGCCATCCTCAGTGGATGCTGTAAGTATTCAAACACACATCCATACATATGCATATTGCTTCTCAATCATCTGAAGAGGACATCCATACATACTGCAGTAGAGAAAACTACTTTTGCCATCAGTGTCAGCCTATATAACCCAGCAAATGTCAGACATACACTGATAGTATTCACTCAACAATGGCTCTTTCACGGTGTCTATCAAGCCTAAAACGTTCATAATACTAATCAAAAAGACTTGCAGAATACATAGTGTTAACGGAAAACATTGTTAATGTATCAAATTGATTATCATTCTGTAACCCTATCTAACATTGGCTGTACATCCTACTAACCACCTACTTTAGCTGACACAAGAATTCAACAAATCTACATACCAACAGATGCGTTGTCATTGGTGAGAGCATTCTGGTTGTCATTGAAATTTGCAGTGGCTGTGTAGTCTGTGACTGAGACGGGCGAGTCTGCTGTGGGGAAGGTGGGCCCGCTGCCTGTGCTGCTTGTGCTGCCACTGCCGCTGCCCACACCCACCACAGAAGGCTGCTCTAGCTTCACATCCCCATTGGGCTGACCCTGGTAGGCTGATCAACAGAGCAACACAATACATGTCTGGAAATGAGGCAAAGTCACAGGGCATGATGGCAAAGAAATAACTGGCTTCTGACAACAGCTGAAACCTGTTCACCAATGAATCACAATATATCAGATGCATGACTTCTCATTTTGTGGTGATAAATATGCTTTCATAAATTGTTTTAATTATCTGGATATTGGAGAGTCTTCAAATTATTGTCGATAAATAGTTTATATTCATCATAGATTGTAATAAATTCGGTTTTATCTCAATCAAAATCTCTGCACCATTTTTTCATTTCCTTGGGCCACCAACTTTCTGCTAGGAAACGTGAAAAGGGGTTTCAATCCCTTGTCTTGTATGTTAAGGTACACCCCTTATATCAAGTTAACCTATCAGAGTGAGTGAGTTTTACGTCGCTTTTAGCAATATTCCAGCAATATCACAGCAGGGGACACCAGAAATGGGCTTCACACATCGTCAAGGGTGGAAGTAACTTTAAAATTGCTAGTGTACTCTGGTACAGTGGCGCATGTCCTGATCATTTTCCCACTATTCCGGCCGTTTTCTTGTTGAGTTTTAAAATAAACAACACTATTAACTTTGGAAAGACAACTGGACACCAGTACAGCGTTAAATACAAATTTACTTGCCCGACAGAAAAAAACCCACTGGACTCGGACGTCAGGCAATGGGTTATTTCCACCCCTGATTGTACCCATGTGGGGAATAGAACCGGTGTCTTCGGCGTGAAGAGCGAACACTTTAACCACCAGGCTATCGCACCACCCCTAACCTATCAGACCTTTCACTGACAATTCCATACATCTGAATTATATCAGCAACACCATGTGTATTTTGGCAAATCTTCAGTTGACCAAAGAAGAAAAGATGGCAAACCAGTCAAATAACTGTCACATATGTAACATATCCGGCACTACTGATATTTCTGACCAGAAAGTGAGTAGCACATGTTCTTTAATAATTTACTACTACAGGCATGAGATCTTATTAATGTTTAATCATCTCTACAGTAGATTTACAAGACCCAAGCCTTTGAGAGATTGGTCAGCCTAACTGCACTCAACATTATCACAGACCAAAAAATGAGCCATACGTTGTACTATAGTTGACAGCTGACAAGATAGTGATCAATCAATGTGGATGGAATCAATGGCAACAGCTGCAACACCTACCACCACATAAACAATCTCCTTCCATTCAATTATAGTAATGAAACCCCAAACATTGATTTTAACTACAGTCTCCCTACTGGGTCCCTGCACGTAGCTTGCCTCAAGAATCAAATTCAAAATGTTATTTCGATCCAATTATCGTATTAGGGCTTTGATTAAGATGCAACTCTCCATCTGGCCCTCAATTTGGAAACCAACGATATGTGATACATTGCATTTCAGTTACACTCTCGATCAATTTTCAGTCTCATTTCAACAACACTCGCCAAATGACTGTCACTTGAGACAATTTATTTTGTCATTACAAAATAACAAAGTGACAATTGTTTTAATGATAACTGCATTGACTACTTGGCATACATTATTTACATCATTAATCAATGTGACAGGTCTTTTCATGGGTAGTCTGCTTATCATGATACAACATGATCTGCAATGTGCATTTGGTCACTTGACGCATGGAGGTAGAGGATTGTAGTGTAACATCAGGATATTCTTAAAATGTTAACACAATTTACATTAACTTGAAACAAGCCTACTAAAAATTGGTATGACAAACATTTTTTTGACACTGTACTGTTCCAAAGCTTTGGAAATAGAAGAAATAGATTTTCAACAATGCACTTACGTTCCCTGAAAGCTAACACAGCTCTGTGAAGCCTCCATTGTCATTAACGAGCATCCTTTAATCATAAATGCTTGTTTTTATGTTAAAACAATACAAAATGCTATCAATGCCTACTTCTAATTATTCAATTTCATATATACACAAAAGTCATCAGATGGCACATCCCCCAATCTGATACAATTGTGGAAGACTGGCTCCTTAACCCCACTTTGGGTTGACTGCAACTAGATCTGTGTTCAACATGGACCTGAAGCTTCAGAATATAATTCCCCATGATACAGCTAAAAGTAACCATACAAATGCAGGGATTCAAAGGGCGAGAATTCCTGCGTCCTATATGCATAAAAATTGACAATGGACGCAACGAAATTTATTAGCGCATCCACAGGAAAAAAGTCCAAATACTTTTTGTATAAATTCCAGTCCAGTAACAATACGTAACTCACAATACTAGCTGGGTTATGGTACCATTTGCAATTTAATTATTGTAACAATGTGATGATCATAACACACAATACAATGACAGTATCAATAATAATATGTAAGTGTCTGGAACCCCCATTTTGTAGTCCAGGACCCTTGAAAATTAAGAATATGAGTCCCAGGGACCCTCAAATACAGGACTCGAGGTAAATCCCTGCAAATGTGACACACCTTTGAAACGGTAATCAAAAGAATAAAAGCACTTTAATTAGCTTCCATTTTTCTGCCTATTATAGTTCCTATCATACAAATCTTAAAAGGATGTTAACATTGACGTGTCTCCAAGATTACCACAATATCTTGTGACCAGAATTATTCTGCATAGCAAGTTTCATGAAACAAATATATGGTCTTGTGAGGAGGAAATAACACAATTTGCATACAAAAAGACAAGGATATATTCGCACAATAATAGTTCAAAACATAACACAATCTTCCAAATGTGAAACCCATAAAATTTCATTCACATACACTTTCTGAAATCAATTTGTCAGTCAGTTCAAGGTACCTCAATTTTCATAGAAACAAAGAGTTCAACAAGCACAGAATCCACATTGATATCATTTAGACAATGTGAATAACTACTCTCTATCAATGTCTCAGAAAAAATTAAAAAGTACAAAATCCAGTACAGCACTGTGTAAAGTGTCCACATTAATTGAAACATTTTCCAAAAAAACCATGTCCTCAAAGGAGCAGGATGATCTGAACGATGAATGTAAAACAAGCTATTCCTACAGATTTTCATCTCCACTTCAGAAGGAAATGAACCAAAGTTCATAAAGAATTTTGACAGAACTAGAAATACACAGGGCCTAATATCTGGTATTTTATGAATGTTCTATTCTTGACAGATTATGAACATGTGCAGTAAGTTAATAGAAAGACATGGGAATTGGTGCCGGAAATGGCAAACATTTTCTGTACAAGGGACACTAAATCAAGGCAACTGTCGCCATCAATCTTAGGACACGCCTGCTATCAGCTGAGATATGTCAGCCTCACGTTCCAATATGTCAGCTTTAAGTTTCGCAACACATCTACCAATCTCTCTGATAAACAAATAAACTGGCAGATGATCTAATTATTGTACCTCATCTACATACTGTTGCCTACATGCAAACAATCATTAGTTCCCTTTTATCAATAATATTGTGTCACATGTACTTAATGTATATCTGTGTGACAAAACTGTTGTCACTTCGGGAATTCCAAAGGTGTAATATATTAATTCATTCCCTATGGACTAATGAAATAAACATTTTAAAATACTTGCAAGGTTTCAGGGATGTCCCTTGAAAAATATATAACACAAATCAGCCCCAAACAACTAAGGATATCTTATGGACAAATGGATATCAATATGACCATCTAGACTGGAAATCTTATAATTTGAAATGTGTGTGGAGCAGGGCTCGAAAAATTTTAAAATCTACACTCGCCCTGCAGGGCGAGCAATACCGGTATGAACTTTCCACTCGTCCTTCTAAAATTGTACTTGCCCTATGCAACATAATGAAAGTAAATTTAAATTATTTTATTTTAAAATGTTTACTTGGAATAAAACTACAATAAACATTACTTTGTCTGCTAATTCGCTCACCATTTCAGATAGCTGAACTTCAAAGAAAAATGTTACTTCCGTTGGCTTTGTAAGATAATACGCAGTTCAGATTTGAAATATTTGAGAAAACTAGCGGATTACAAATCAGCGTAGTGGATATTGTAAAACCAACAAAGCATGAAATAGTGAACTGTATTACCTTGTTGAAAATATCAATGACACCTGGCAAGTGCGTTTAATAAATGACAGGATTTTTAAAACATTAGATTAAATTAAAATTTCCACCTCATCTGTTTAACTCTTTCAACAAAGGCAACCAGAAGCATTTACTGCCATGACACCGAGTTCCCAGAGACCCTGAGATCTTAGAGGAAGCCTGTGTTTACTAAGGAAAATATCAGCTTGTAAACCATTACTGCTACTACATATCATACACCATTTGAAAGGTCTAATACTTCTGTTTATAAATATGAAATATATTTTTTTATCATATTATTCAAATAATACAACTACAACGTAAATAAGTTAATATTTAATGAAAATGCAAGTTTACTTTCCAGAAAAACCACGAAGGCAGCAAAAATTGCGGCGATTTTTCTATTTGTAACATGTCATAATATCCCCTTACCTTTTTATTTTATATTTTCATTTTTACGTAATCGGAAAAATTATTATAAAAAGATTTCTCAAATAATATGTATGGTCGTCTATTTTCCGATATCAGTAGCTTTGCGCTCGGTAATGTGATACAACAGCGTGAAATACCTCCGTTTTGGAAGCTTCGTACGGATAACATGTGAAGCAATTCGTTTGATGGCGGGTATCGTTCGAAAGCTCTGAACATCAACACTATCACTATATCCTTGCCAAGAGTATTTTCACAGTTGTAAGAAGCAATTTTATTGGATAAAGATTGGTTTCTAATGACGCTTTTCTGCCACAGTCTGCTATGGGGATCGTGATTGGACAAAATTATGCATGTGACCTAAGGCAGCCAATCATATTGCAGCAATGGATAGTATCCTCATAAACAAAAACTTTTAGATTCAGACGAAAGTTTGGGGTAAAAGCATGGTATTCTGAACGTGTTACGCAAGAAATCACAACCTATACGTATATATTATGGAACTTAGTGGACGCATCGTGCTAGGCTATGACCATTGACAAAAATGCTTCATGCATATATTTTAGCATTAAACATCGTGTCTGAGCGTGAAGTTTGAGGCGACGAAAGCCGAGCTGTCACTTGATATAATTAAATTACACGATCGCACAAACAAGATGGAAATAGTAAATTATGATGTACATTTGACAACTGAGTACTGTTATTGATTTTATTATTCAGTTCATTAAATTTGCTTAATTATTATCTCAAAACATCGTTACTTTGATTACGATCGGTAATAACAAGCAGGGAATTCCCAATTTTCAAGGAGATCCGACAACATTCATGTTGCGACGATTTTTCTCATTGGTCAGTTTATTAATTATAGCCAATCTGGATATTCGAAGCACTTAGGTTACAAAACCATGCTGTGTGATATCTGTTGAAAAAGGATGTACCAAACGAACATCAAGACTTCAACTTTGAGGTTAGTTTTCGGGGAATTTGAAAATACTGTTAATCGGAAATGACGATGTTAAAACTTAAACTTATTGTTTTGAAAAATAGTTGGGGTCAGAAAACATACTCGTCCTCTAGCGGATGAGTGGAATTTTCGAGCCCTCGTGGACCTTTGAGTAAACCATTAATGCTGTTTCATTAAGAGAACTATGGTAAGGACTACGAACGTGTTTGCATTACATGCCCATCACCCCACCCCAATATCATTCCCACTAGTAAAACAAATGTATAGATGGTTTCTGGGAGGACGTTTACAGTAACAGGAATTACATTTTGAGGGAATTTAAAAGCATAGCCCAAACTGCACTAGATATATTAATGCTAACATCAAACAAACTGCAAAATAAACCCTCATGGAACATGTGTCGATTCTTACTATTAACTCAACCAAATTTCATTTAAAAAATTACAGAGAAATGGCCGTAGAGAGTTTTCAAAACTGTTGTTGTGGCAATATTCAAACTATTTGGTTACATTGGCTGGAACAAATTTGAAGTTTAGCCTCATTGTTCAAATAGAAAATAAAGAAATATACTGAATAAAATGTTTGTGATATTTATTGTTTAGTTGGTTTTTTAAGTATTTTTTTCAGCAAGATTTGATTTTTAATGATCAAAGTGTTTGGGTCACAGTCAGAACTAGACAAGGTGACAATTTCACCCAAAGATTCTCTGCCCTTGCAGCCATTCTGAAATTCCAATTTTAATGCCTTGCACAAACTAGAACTCCCTTATAGTAACAATCATTCACACAAAATATCATCTAAATGTATTGAAAATATGTGGGCAAGAGCTGATGCCAACTGTTGTTGACAAAAGTTCAAATGTCCAGGTGAGACTTAAAAGGCCAAGGCAGAACTTCAAAAATTATTCCTTTGCTTCAAACTACCAAAAATACAAGCACTTGTAGTTCAGTAATAGTAGCATTTCCAGTTGAGCAAAACCCAGTGAACTCAACCTCAAACAGAAACCTACAGTGGCCTCAATAAGAGATTCTAAGCACTGCCAGATTAGTAACATCACTCCTGGTTGAGGAAAGCATGTCAACAGATGAACAAGTTTGAAACAAACATCCTTATGCCCTTTACAAGCTTAATAGAACTTCTGTCAAATTAGTTATACCTTTAATGGCAGGACTGCACTGCCGAAACATTTCAAATGGCAAGTATGTGACTTAACTAATGTAAAGTTAGCGTAGCATACAGCTACCAACATACTGATTAGCAGCGGCATATACAAAATAACTAAGGCATTGCATTGTCAGTGATTGACCTGTAGTGAACAAACATTCTTCCTACATGGGTGAAGGTACAACTTTTTTAAATAGCATTTACTAAATTTTTCACCCCTTTTACACTGCTGTTACCTGAAGACAATATTACTTAAGAATATATGGAATGTCCTGCAACGTTTTGGTGTTAGTTTTTGGTGTGCATGAACTTGACTTCTAGATTTGTCTTTCCGTTGGTCAGGGATCGCCTACTGGATAAACAGAGCAATTGATACAGTAGTTGTTCACCCATCATTACGTAAACACTATAACTGATGTAGATATTTTAAAACGAGTTAAAAATGAAGAATGCGGATATGCTGTGCCTCAATGAGTCTCCAAAAATATGAAGGTAGGGTGGAATTAGCTAACTGTTGAATTCAAACACACATTTCATAAAATTCAATGACTAGGTTCATGAACGGGCAACTGAATAAAAAAAAAAAGTTTCCATCACTGCCCACATCCCATTATTTCATTGTCCATTCTCATTTACTTGAAGTGCTTCATGTACAGTCCTCCAGAACATTCCAGATTTTGAACAGTAATGTAACAAACGCTATGAACAGTTCGTTAACAAATATACATGTCAATCATAAAATGTCTCCTGACAATTTTTTCCTAACATTGATGCAAATGTTTCACCATATTGACTGTGGCCTAACAGACGTATCTTTTCTGATATTTGTGTTCAGTGGTGATCAGATTGCTGAGGGTGAGGACTTACTTGTGTCTGATCCCGGACTTTCCCATTGCGTCGTGGAGTCTGGTGAGGCAGGTGACTTACTGCTCAGGAAGACGTTGGCATTGGGGTTGAGGCCGGGACCTGGACTTTTGGGTGTGACCTGTAACAAAAAGTGATCAGTTTGATGTCCATGCACTAAGCTTTGACTCTTTCAATGTTTTCTTCAATTATCTACTCAACGAAAACTCCAGAAATTTTCAATCTGTTTCATCTTAAATGCAAGGAAATACAGATACTATTTTTACACATACAACGTCATTGCAATGATGTAAAAAATCTTTTTTCACATGACTTTTCTCGTGGGACTTTGATGAAGAGTACATTCTGAAGAGGCCAGTAATAGCTTGTTTCTTTATGACTTTCATTAGCAATGCTTTCATTGAAACAAATTAAGTATACTTTAACATGTTTAAGCACAAAGTAGTTACAATTATGTTTTTATGATTTTCAAACTGATTTTCAAACTGCAAACCAATTCAGCAAACATTTGACTATTAGCAGACACACTACAACTAAAACCTGATTTAGCACACTAGCATCAGGACTCCGGATTTCGAAATCTTTAGACAAAGTTGAAGGGTTGACCATGTTGATTTTCAACCTTGAAACAAGCTTAAGCTCTCATCAAGTGCAAACACCATTTTGTCTGACGGGTGGGTGGGCGTCAAGAGTAGAGTTCGTGAAGATGCTAGCTAAATAGGTTATGTCGGTCGGACAGTCAGTCAATAAAAATGTGGTTCACTGGTACACTGTCTTCATCCTGACAACCAGTTCATGAAAATGGGTGCATCAGGAAGTAAATTTCAGACTAACACTGAAGACAGCTTGGAATGCTTTTCAGCAACAGAAGCAGAGTGTATCTCTCAAAGACAAATAACACTCACAGGGGAGATGAATCTATTATCAATCACAAAGATCAAACAAAGGTTCAGATAGTGTCATTGCTAACTCAAGGATTGAAATATCCTTATTTTGGAACAAGAACTTTCAAAAAACCCAAAGACTTTTCTTTTTAAACAAGGTTCTAATTCAGATTACTACCAAATCTGAATACTTGACAATTCAGGGCTTCCCCTGAGTCAGTAAACCTGTGAATATCACACAATGTGACACACTGATTTATTTCATTATCAAACCTTCTGCATCATACCTGACAACTGATATATGAAGCAATCACTGACAATGCTGACACATACAGGAATGCAATTTGTTCACTTTGAATATAATGTTAGCACCTAGTTCATCATTCATCACCCATTCATTGACAGAATCTCATTTTAAAAAAAAAAGGAAAAAAAAGGCTTTAGACAGCATATTAAAAACAAAGCATGACTGCCGACTCAGTTGAAACTATTAACATGTTTGGCAAGATGTTGTCATCTTGACTCTTGATTTTATGGCAAAGTGAAACCCCATGAAATGTCTCCATCCTTGCCAATTCCACCTGCCCTCAAACCACAGGAGAGTAATAAGCAATGACTATTCCAACTAGCCTGTGAAGAGGAACAAATTAGTTGGACAGCAGCTAACTCAAGCCACATCAATCTTCATCCAAACCTTGTTCCAAGGTTTAACAATAAATCCAGATAAAAATAGCATTAAACATGCTATTATGATCAGAGGCAGCCTTCTCCCTGAATGAGTAGAGCAGCTATAGACAGGCTCAATGTCCCTGACACTTGTCCTATGGCACGACAGTTTTCTCTACGCCCACTGCTTTGCAGTGGCCTACATACCCAAAACACTAGCTGCTTAGACTGTTTACTCAAAAACATGGAAGTCATTCCAGGTTCAGCTAAATTTACTGAGTTCATAACTCAGAGTGAACACTGCCATGTATTCTAGATATGTTAGTCATTAAGAGCAGACTTGCATTCAAGGTCAAACAAAAAGGTAGGATATGGGAGTATCAGTGCTTTCTTCACGGAGCCACAGACATAAAAAAACAACTTGCCCTTTGGTCTGAAATATTTACCTAAATAGGTTTTTTTAAAACCGATTATCAGGACAATATTCAAAAAAGATTTAACACAATCTTAGACAATTCTTCCCAAAAATCAATAGATCTGATGATCACGCACCTTGTTATTTCTTGATTGTATTTGAGAATAATGATGACAAAACAAAGAGTCAGTCTACTCAATGGAATGAGTTTTTTATATGGCTGATGGTATCTGTGGTCTTGCTCATGGCCTACACTTTCATGTTTAAAGGTACAGACGGATGACTGACACATGGACAGTCAGACTGCTGACAGGTCTGGGACTTCCACGACAGATATCATCACTTCCTGGCAAGTCTTAACTCTGCTAATTCCACTTGATGAGTTTTCAGGGCTTATTTGTCCCTGTGTGTTTGTACAAATGAAAATAAACAGTAGGACCTAAATGGTAAAGCAAGAAGGCCACTTTGCCTAACCTAGATACAGGCAAGACCCAGTAGAGGCAGGAGGCTAGCTCTAAGCCAGCCTGTTCACACCTACCAGTGTGCTCACACATCCACAATTCTAAAGTCAATTTCCCACCTGGGCGTGTCAGGAGAGGAAGGAAGATGAGAAAGACACAGCACATGTCCAGCCTTTCAGCTGTGTAGTCACTGACTAGTCAAAGAAGATTGTTGGAGCAATCAGACATGACTGTCTTGTAATATATCCCCATTCAAGATGTAACAAGTGCCACTTTGGCTTCTAACACGACCAATTCAATAAAACATTACGGCAAATTTGCCTTCTAGACAGACTTTACTGAAGCATGAAAAAATATCCTGCAAATATCCATTTGGGCAAAACAATCATGGTCTTGTATTCAATATCATTCATGCTTTGATTGTTCCAATATATTTGTTTGAAACAATATATTGGACCCCAAAACTTGAATATTCTGAATTGAAAATACCTTAACAAAAACATTTAACATTATATTTATATGAAAGATGATCACGGGATATATTCCTTCAGAACTGACACACATCAACAAGTGGTGATATTTGAAGTATCTATCTTCTCATCTCAGTCATCGACTCCATGGTCATTAACAGCTAATGTCATCATTCCATTGATTTATTTCTAAAGGCACAAGTGCTTCATGGCCAGTGTAACCGCCATGCCAGACACAACACTGTTTCCATACAAAGCCTGTTGAGCCCAGCTTTCACAACACTTATACTTCAAATCCGAGGTGACTGTTGTATTATCAAACTAAGGTTCTGTGGAAAAAAATGGCCTCAGCAGATCAACTTTGTCATAATCTGACATTAGACTTGTCAAGAACTAACAAAAGCTTTGAGCAATATGGTAAACGGTATGCACAATACTGGATTTTGTTTTGTTGATTTTTTAATGACACGTCACAAGGCTGAACTGTTCACAGAATTTCTACAAAATATGGAATGTGAAGGAGATGATCTAAGCTGGCTGAGAGGGGAGGGAGGAGGAAGAACAAGCTAACAGCATGCATTAACTACCTCTCGTATCAACATAATTGTCAGGTCAGAAATTACCTCCACAGAATGGTTAGAAAAATAGAGTCAACACATCATAAAGAATTCAAAATATTGTACACATGGTATAGGTTTTAATAGTCCATGGAATGCTAATTTTACAAATGTATGTGACAGTATGGAAAGTAAGAAACATGTTAGGAAAATGGCAAAGGTCAAAGGTAAAATTGTGACATACCCTCTTGGTCGACTGGCCTCTCTTGACACAGAGCACACAGGAATTTGCCGAATAGTAATATACATCTCCGGGAAGCATGTATAGACCCTGTTGGCACCAAACTACACAGGAATGTGGCTACAACTCTACTGGTGCGACACCACTGGGCTAACATATGGTTCACTTCACATCACAATACAAGACCCACTGTGTGGAGCAAGTCTCTCCAATCCCCTTCACATGCATGCTTAGCCTCTTCCCTGATTCGGATTCACTTGCTGGAGTCGGTGGGGCCAGGTGTGTCCGAGTGCACGTCCTCAGTGTGCCTGATGCAGTGGACACCAAGTTAGGTCACAGCAATAGCATTCAGAGGAGGCACGACAGTCTCCTTACACTGTGTCAGCCATGCTCACAATGCTCCCGAGTTGGCTGGCTGGCTGGCTAGCTGCCTGGCTCTGCCTCCTGGCTATGACCAGCAAGCGAGGACTTCCTTCACTATGACAGACCAAGCGAGAGAGGGAGGGTGGAGGTGGTCGCTGCTTCGCAGCAGTGTTTCTATGTCCCTTCCTAATACACTGTGGCTACATCATTAGCATCCATGGTTCATCTACCCACACACTAAGCCACTGTGCCTGTCTTACTGGCTGTTCTTGGCCAGCTGCTGCTTCTAGATAATAGATGAAGATGTTATGTGGTGGTGCTGGTGGTATGGCTGGGACCAGTGACACTATTACACAATGTGACACAAGATGAAGACAGTCATTTGCCCACAGCCTGTTGCTAACCTGCAAGGCTAACCCACATCTCGCCTGCCAGTCTCTTCACCTGTCCAACTGTCATTCATGTCTCATTTCAAGACACGGCATTTCAGATGTTGATTCCAATCTCAACACAAATCAAAACTAAAGAGAAATCTATACCACACACACATTCCGAAGTGTATCATCAAGTGAGCCAGCTTCATTCACAGATTGTTGTCAGCTGACTACTGACGTAATAGCAATCCCTGTACACAAGCAGACGGCATCAACTCCATACTAGTCTTTGTCATGGTAATCATGTACACTGCCCTATATAAACGTAAGGGGACAGTCCACAATAATAACAAGCCTGAGATTATAATATCCACCGGCTAGTCCAGAGAAGGCAGTTTCACTGACCAGACAAACAACAGCCCACACCATCGAGACAATGAGCTGGTTGCTATGGAAATCCTCAGTGCCAGGAAGGTGGGTGGCAGAAATTAACACCAAATGAATCGGTGGCAGAAATAGCCATCATTGCAGGCACTGGGCAGGCAATGGCCAAGTCTGACGTAGCAGCGGCCGCCAAGAGCAACCAAAATGTGTCGCCACGACAGTGGTTCAATTTAGACATAATCCAAGGATGTTCATCCTTTCAGTGTTTTCAGATAAATCTGGCCTTAGCATCATTTGCAGCAAGAA